CTTCCTCCTATCATTGTCAATTCCAGTTTAGTTTATAGCTTAGAAAACAAACAGTATGGCAGCTCCCATGTGTTTATTGTGTTATCCTTTCATTCAGCTTTTGAGTTTACTCCACTTGCACTTATGTTTACGGTACATTTATGTTTATACGTGACAGTTTTGCTGCTTTGAATTAAGATTACCATTTTGAAATCAAATCTGATGTTCTTATAAATTTTATTTGGTGTGCGGAAGAGGGGGTAGTCTTATACGGCGAGTATATAACAAAATCTATATTTTAACTGAAAAAGTCTGAGGGTCGTCTTATACGCCCAGTCGCCTTATACGGTAATCTTTAATTTCTAACTACATTGCAAATTTACTATCACTTTACCGTCGGTTAACAAAATTTTCAAAAGGTTTTTTATCTATTCTCGCCATGTTGCTAAATAGCAAAATAGTCATCCATGTATCTAAATGATAATTTTGTAGTCAATTATACTTCCTCCATTAGGTTTTCTTCAAAGCTTGTGGTGTAAATATTTGCCAAAATGGGTGGTTAGGGTTAGGTCTAGGTTTGGAGTTAAATTCAGGGTTAGCATTGATGTTATGGTTAGAGTTTGGCTTAGGTCTAGAGTTATGTTTAGGGTATGGAGTTCGATTTAGGTTTAGCTTTTTGTTTAGTATTAATTTTGGTGGTAGTTTTCGTGTTCTGTTCGGGTTTAGGTTTAGCTTAAGTTTAACGGTATTATAAAGAGTTTTGTTTATGATTATGCTTAAGTTTAATTTTGCCTATGTTTTAGGCTTGTCTTTGAGTTTTATGTTTATTTAAAATAAGCTTTAGATCTAGATATGAGGACCAAGATGGTATGGCCTCCGGTATGGTCGCAGTCTCCTTTTGATTTATTTAAGTGAGTTGATCTAGTTGTCGCAACTTTGTCTTTTTATTCAAGAGACTTAGTAGAACGCACCTAGTCCGAAGTCCTCTGCCACAGTAGTTGTCATAATTCCCAGCATCAGACAATGTACTTGGACATTCTCAGACGTTTCGCCGGCATCGTAGTCGGCATCATCAGTGAGACTTGCCATTCTCCGCACCAAGACATTCTCAAACGTTTCGCCGGCATCGTAGTCGGCATCATCAGTGAGTTTTGCCATTCTCTGCACCAAGCTGCGAATTCGTCAAAGAGACAAGTGAAGTCAATCCCTCGACAAACGTCCAACCGCAAACGGTTACACTATGATTCCTCTTTCTGTCCTGGCCTAGCTATCTACTCTTTACCAACTTATCAAACTCCCGCCCTATCAAACCTTCTCACTTGTTTACATTCCACTCGTCAAAACATCTTCGATTAGACTATGGTAGTAAAATTGCCAGACAATGCACCGAATACAGCCGGACAAAAAAGACAATTGTAAGTCAATCTTCTCATCTGACTTTTTTAAACTGTTATAAACGTTATGGTCTCACTCCTAAGTTCCTTGATTTTAAAAGACCCTACCATTTGAATAAGGTTAATAAGTATCCCCACCAGGCTCCAAGTCAGGAACAAATTGAGACATATGATACGGAGAAGAATAGGCTATTTAAGTTTATAGATATTAAGTCAAAGCTCCGGCGTGATCTAACCAGGATCCTGTCTCCGGAAGGCTTTCAAAAACAACAGAGCATGACCAACAGGGAA